CTTTGTGTGTGTGTGTGGGGGGGGTGTCTGGTCTAATTAAAATAAAATGAATGCATAAATAAAATTAAATTTTCCAATCAACCAATCAATAAATAAAAAGTAATCAGTAGCAGGGCCAATGGTGGTTAAAGGGTACTGGACTCCCACATGGCCGACTGTGATTCAAGTCTGAGACCGGATGGCTTGCTTTCTCACTTTCCCTCCCTCTCTCTCTCACCCTGTTCCTCTCTAGTCAAATGGAAATAAATAAAGTTAAATCAATAAAAAATAATTCTTTAAGAAAAGTAATCAGTAGTGGGACCAGCAGTTGGCATAATGGCTATGTCACTGGACGCCCATGTCGTCTATCATGGTTCAAGTCACAGAACCCGGCACATGTGCGTGTAGGCCCAAGATCCCAAGAGGAGAATGGAGAAGGGATTGTGTCATGGCCATCCCCCTGGGGGGTGATTTCTCACTGTCTCTCTGTCTTTTTGGCGAGCGCACGCACCCTATAGGAAAAACCCTCCAAAGAAAAAAATCAGTAGCTTGACACCAATTTTCTCTTTCTTTCTTTCTTTTTTTTTCTTAAGAGAGAGATTTTTGCTATAGAGCAAGTACACTTGCTGGAGAGTCACAGAGAGACAGAGAGACAGAAAGCAAGAAATCACCCCCCAGGGGGATGGCCATGACACAATCCCTTCTCCATTCTCCTCTTGGGATCTTGGGCACACACACACACGTAAGCCCGGCATGAGTTTTAAGCCAGTGGGTTCAGAATTCCAACTGTGGTCAACTATGTGGGAGTCCAGCGATGTGACCATTTCACCGTCTGCTGGTCCCCTGACACCAATTTCTAAAATACATGTATTTATGTAGGTCCAAAAGTACACCAAAATGTCAGCACCAATTATCTCTGGGGGGGTGGTTTTTATTTTCTTCTTTATGTATATTTTCTAACTTCCAAAAATAAATCTCTATTGTCACAAATTGATGTGAGGCTTTTTAAAGGTTTTTTCTTTTTACTTTTTTTTTTTTTTAATTGCCAGAGAATGTGTGTGCTAGCTAGAGAAGAGAAACAGAGACAGGGAGAGGGAGAAAACACCTTCCAATTGCAATCCTGTCTCCATTTCTCCACCCCTTCGAGATTTGGGCATGTATGCACATGAGCCCAGCATGTTTTTTTCAAGCTGCTGGGGCCAGAATTTGAAGCTTATGACTACGTGGGATCAAACTCAACCATAGGTCATGGCGCCAGTCTTCAACCTCCAGTTTCTTTAGATCTTATTTTTATATTTTCCAAGACATCTATTTGTTTCCTTATCATAGGAGGTTGTTGCTTAGTAGGCGCAGAATCTCCTGTAATTAAAGTCTCCTGTTTATTAACTTTCCCCCTCCTTTTGTTGATGGCAGGTAGCTTTCTTACAGGGTCCTGGCTTTCCTTAATTGCTGCTGACTTCTGCTGGTCTGTAATCCTTTGTGTTTGATTCCTCCATTGCTGATTTGACTACAATGGAGAGTTTCTTCGAATGCTGGGACGGTGGAGGGCCCTCTGAGGTTCTGTTTCCCTGTGGTTAGTCTGAGTATGGGAGCCTCTTGCCCTCCAGAAGTCATGAGCTCCCTGCACGTCCACCCTGGGTCCATTCTGCACTCCCACTACTCAGCAGGAGGGCAGGCGGTGGTCATCGCCCTAGAGTCTCTGCAAGAATTTCCACGTTCCCTGAAAACCCCCGAGCCCTCCTCCTCCTTCCAGCCCTCGGCAGTGAGCTGGGTGGGCCTCCACGACTGGGCCCGCACGCAGGGAGTCCACTGTGGCCAGTGCGTGGTGCACCCCCTGTGCCTCATGTGCACAGGTGAGAGCGCTCTGGGGCAAATTGTTCATCTTTGGGAAAATGAATACCCATTTCATAGGATTGTT